CTATTTTGTCAAAATGACCTTGGTAATTATATCAGTCTTTTTCTTTATCTCAGTAAACATATTTGTAGAGCTAACACTTTATCAACACACGCACATCCACATGAACACATTTCAGAAGCTGCTTCTGTCTGTTTTACTCCATAACCAGACGTTTCTACACTAGAGCAGAAATAGCTTATTAGAATGCTTTTCAACAGGCCGAATAATGGCAGTCTTTTAAATAAGATAGTTGCACGTTGAGAAATTGCTTCTCTCGTTTTTATTAAAGTTTCTTACTTAATTTCGAAAGTTTGTTTCCTTCACACATCTGGAGAGCCAACTAGAGTATATGTTGATTCAGACATTTGGGGGGGTAAATACTTTAAAAAGGTGACTTTTTAGAATTCAAAGAAAATAGGAAAACTGAAATGTTTACAAATCCACTACTACTAGCCATAAGACCAGATTAGACTACCTAGTCCTCTTTCCTTGCGTTGACGATATTAATTTGAAGGCATTAATGTTATAACTTAATCTGAGTTCTGGAAAGGAAGATTTCATTGCGTTGAATCTGTAGTGGAAAAAGTTTTTCGAACAGTTGTGTCCAGGGCCAGTTGAACGCCAACTGAATATAGTTGAGGTGTGTTTCCAGTCAAAAATGCAATTTCTAGGATAATTATGGCAGAGGCTTATTTTTGAAAGTTAAAGTGAAATATATGTGAAAAATTTATGTACCTCTACCCACATGTTTTACCTCACTTAACTATTATCTAACAGTTGAGCTGGCAAACTTATAATACTGGTACAAGTAGTTTTTAAATTATACACAAGTGTGACCTGATATTTTAGTTTAGTTTAATATCATAACATCTTTCTTTTTAACTATAATTATTTGAATTTAGATGTGGTAAATTAAAATATATTCTCATACTGGTAAATTATAACATTAGTTTGGAGTGCAATGGGTGAAATAGTTAAGCATTTATTCCAGGGGAGAAAATATTCAAAACACCTGCTATTTTTTTATGGTTCGTTTTGTTAGTCCTTTATTTCAGAAAAGATTTCTTGAAAACTTGCTATAGCCCTGAGAATGGGAGGTTTCAAAGATGACTGTGAATTCCAGCTTGGGATATTGGGTTTCCAGTGGAATTCTTAAGGAAGAATAGGTTTGGAAAACATACATTTCTTTTGAATATGCTGCTTGGGATGTTTGTACAGTATTGAGTGAGGGATCCAGTCAGCAGTTATCTACATGATTTGAGCCCTTGGATAAAAATTGGGAGTCATTAGATTATGAATAATAGTCAATAACAGAAAAGTAGAAAAGACAGCATGGTCTTTAAAGTCCTTTACTGTTCCATTTACATCTATGTCTCTTGCCTCATTTTCTATATCCTTCACACTAATTTAACATCTATCTCTTTAATCTTCATCCTGGCCAAGCCAGCCCCTGAGCTCTGTACTGGAAATGATATTCCTTACATG